TCGAGTATAAAAGAAACTGGTTTAGTCTACATTAACAATCTCATGGTACGCAAACGTCAAACACTTCCATGCTACAGCCACCAAAACAGCTCCACGGTTCTCGCTGCAATGGTGCGAGCGAGAGGATTCGACGCCCTCGGACGAGGCCTGGCCTGGCAGCGGGGGAACCCGTCTCACCGGGAGCGAGCGCCGGCCACCACCACCCAACACCGAAACCTGGTGTGCTGGCTGGGCACTCCTCTCTGACTGAAAAAAACCAAACAAAAAAATCCCCGTAAACTGAAGCAGCTCGGATTGCACACCTCGGGCCCCAGGGCCCCTTCTTCGTGACACAGCACAGCCACCCTACAGCTCAGTTAAGCCCAAATGCTATGTTTATTGAGGACTTCTAATATCGTGATACCTTGGTTCAGTAATTTGTGAAATATCTAAATATTGTTAAATATATTTTTAAAAAACCCTAACCAGACTCTGGACTAAACAAGATGAACGTTAAACTAAAAAGTTAGAAGGGACGCTGTTTACATTAACACTTTCTTTAAAAAATATAATTGCTTTTTTTCTTTTTTTTCTTTAAGTCAATTAACCACAGTGGTGAGACGTGCGCTCTTTTTCAGCTGTTACAGTGCAGCGTGCAGAGTTTTACTTCCCAGGTCACACCAGCCCCACTGTAACCGAACTGAAAGGGACAACTTGCACCTGCGTGCGGAATGGTGCCATCTCCCCGTCACGTGGAAAAGAGTTGTGTCACCACTGTGCGCTAGGGCAGCCGAAAACCAGGAGTCTCTTGGTCAACACCGGAATGCGGTTGGAAAGCCTTCCGTGTTCTAATAGAAAAGTCCATAGGAAGCTGTGAACAGGATCAGTCCAGAGGAGTAAAACTCTTTTATGTCTGTCCAAGTATCAGTCAATGTACTGCGATAGCCAGCGGAAGCCTTCGCCGTAGCCTTGCCTCTTCAGGACGCTGCACATGAACACCTCCATGGGGCGCGCGTTCAGGTCCTTCAGTGGCACGTTTCCCTGGGGAAACCCAAAGGCAGGTCAGCTCCGGGGCCCCGCTGCCCTCGGGCAAGCGGCAAACCAAGGCACCAACGTCTGTGGGTCAACCCCTCCCGGCCCAGGGAGCTTCCTCTCCCGGCTGCACAGAGGCACCTGCCCATGGGACTTTCGGAGCCGGCAGCGTGAGAGAAGGGGCATCGGAAACACCAAAGTATTTTCGAGGCACAGCCTGAGGGAGCTGCGACGCTTGGCAGGGCGATACAAGGAACAGTTGTCGCCGCCCGGAGAAGCCAGAGCCAAGAGCAGACTTGTGGTGTTTTACTACCATCACCCAGCATTTCCCATCAGTTCTAACTGTACTGCTTTTAAACACTGAAAAAATTATTAGATAGGCAACTTGACAGAAACGCAGAGTAACGAAAACTGGGAGAGCCAGACAATTTGTTGAAACACCAGCTCGACACCTAATCCCCCAATTCTTGTAGAGGTACCACGTTTTGCAACGTTCTGGCAGTTTCAAAACTTGCCCGAGGGTGGTGGCGGTATTAAAAATTCACCTCAGTCAATATTGTGGGCAAATTCACAGTAACAGCTCAATTAGTTTCTGGATGGAGCTTCATTCTGCAACAAACCCAAGCCCTCCCTCACTCGTGGACGATCCAAGATGCAGGTGCCTCCCTACCTTTCCCGTGGTCTGTCCGTAGAGCCCAAAGATCTCCCGCAGTTTCTCCTCGCTGATGGCCTCCGGTCTGTCGATTTTGTTTCCCAAGATAAGGATTGGCACGTTGGATATTGTTTCATCTGTCATTAGCGCCTGCGTGCAAGACAGAAGAAGAGTTAAGAAGAGGCAGAACAAACATCCAGTGTTTGAAGAAAAACATTTTGTTTGAGCTCCGTGAACAAGAAGGGCTGTTTTTTGGTGCTGCAGTATTTCTGTGGAAGAGGAGTCTCTCCAGAAAGGCTTCTTAGAAGAAGCTCCTATCTAAGCACATGGGCCATTTCAAAACTTCTTCGGCTCTGGGATGACTGTACTTATAAACCCGTGCTGATCCGGGCCCTGCATAAAGTAACGTGCAAATTCTGATAAGCACATGCTTTGGACACTGCATCGCTGGCAGAAAAGATGCACTGGAAGTGCGTTTGACTCTCAAAATGTGCTGTCCACAAGTTCCAGCCCCCCCAAAAGAATATTTATAATTTAGCTAATCAGAGGTGTTAGGGAAGGAAGAAAATAAGCTTACATTAAGCTCAACTTTGGATTCCATAAGACGCGTGTGATCTGCACAGTCCACCAGAAAGACGATCCCGTTGATGGCTGGCAGGTAGTTCTTCCAGACCCGGCGAGCTGGAACACAGAAGTGACAAACACCGCCCCGTGAAAACGCTACCCGAGGTAAGGGGAGAACTACACCCAAAAAGGAGCCACCCTCTTCATGGTAATTTCCTCAAGGCAACAGAAGACCTTCTTCTGGTGAAGGAACCAGCCAAGGTTGCAAGCCAGGCAGTTTGGAGAGCCCATTACACTCTCTGCTTTCATAAGTAAGCCTCGGCAACTAAAGCTGCCCTTCGAGCCAGGGTGTCTTTCTTCCATATTTTTGCATATTAAAAAAAGAAAAAGGCAGAAAAACTTTGCTTAGAACTTTTAGAAAGTCTAAAAATAAAAATTCAGCAATTATTCAAAAGAATAAGCCTACGACATTCAAGTCTTCCACAGCTAAAAATATTTCAGGCAGCAGAGCATGAACTGGCAGCATTTTTTTCCAAACTGCCAGAATTAAGCACAAGTGTTGAACCATTGGTATGCTTAGAGCCAGGAGGTTATTTCCACATATAGCTCCATAAATAATTTCAGGCAACAAATAATTAGGTCCTGCTAATTGCTATCGCTTTTCTACCACTTTCTGGTAGTTTTTCTTAAGGTGGCTGGAGAACATCACAGAAATGGGGAGGCTGACCTCATCCAGTGCCTCCCACTCAGCAACTTCACTCTTACCTTGCTCATGTCCACCCAGATCAAAAGTTGTAAAGGTCATTCCAGCAATCGTCAGCTCCTCTGATGCTGGAAAGTAAAAATACAGGGAATAAAGAAGCTGTCACAGCTAGAATTTCCTGGGGACTCACATTAACATACACACTTCTCATGTAAGAGATCCTGTAGGATTCAGGACTTCCCTGAATTGCCTGTAGAATTCAGCCACTGAAATGGAGTCGTTCCACATAATAATTTCTCCGACCTCCCTGCTTAAGCATGTGCTTATTAATCTGCACTTATCGCACTTTACTATACTTTTCGTTAGAAACCCACTCCCTCCCCAAGCAAAGCAAGTGATATTAACTGAACCACGCCATTTCTCAGGCTCTCCATTTTACATTTAAGAAGAAAACACCAATCCACTTTCGCTTGGGCAACCAACATGCAGCTGCAACCTCAGGTGCCTTTTTAACACTCTTAAAAGTCCATTGCCCCAGTGCAGAGCTATCACCGAGGCATCTTTTGAGACTGCAACTCCAGGAGGAAAAAACACGCCGGGAGGCAGGTGGGGCTCAGTCGCTGGCAGACTTACTGGGATGTAGTGTCGGGACATGCTGACCCAGCCTGTCATCTTTCAGCATGTGCAGCAGAGTGGTTTTGCCTGCGTTATCCAAGCCCAGGAACACGAGTTTTCCAGACTTCTTGTACAAACCTGAAAAGAAAAACAAACAAGGAAAAAAAACTCCAGCAGGCTTATCTCGGCACACACGCAGACACACTACAACACTCGCTGCTGTTTATATAGGAACCCCTCTCCCAGAGCTATATGGCCACCCAAGCTTCTACGGTGCTTCCCACCCCTACACGGAACAGCAGGGGAAAAAAAAATAACAGCCTGAACTGGCTTTTACCATGGCGATGCAACGTAACATCTACAACAACAGACATTTCCTAATCTCGTATTTCTATGAGTAATGTATTCTTTTCTAAGATACATCCTAGCAGAAGGATGTGCAGCGAAGTATCACTTATGTGCAATGGGTTATGGATCAACCTGTCACCCCAAAGGGAATAAACTTATAAAAGACAGCAGCAAGTTGAAGAAAAAGTGGAAAGCATGAAACAACACATCATTTTCTTTAGAGAAAATGATTTTCTTCCACTTTCTGGTACACATCTGCCACAGGAAAGTTCCCTTAGGTTTCCAACAAGACTTTTTCTCATCCCTCCCTACCCCTCATGGGACAGAGAGTGCCCCATTCTCCAACAAGGATCTCAGCTGAAAGTCATGGCTCTGGCAGGAGCTTTGCCATGTCCTGCACCCCACAAGAGGGGCGGCTGCTCGCGCTGCAGTCAAGCAGACAGCCCAGCTACATGGGTCACCCTGGACTGGGGCAACGTTTTGGCCAGCACCACCGCAAAGAACCTTCACCCCAGATCGTGCTGTGGGGCTCAGCCAATGGACAGCAGCTCACCCAGGGATGCCACAGTGAGTAGCCTGGGGTGGGAAGGGACAATCTGAGGAGGAGTAAGGCAGACAGCTGCAGCGGCGAGAAATAAGGGCGAGCTCTGGCGGAGCTGGTGAGCTCGGGTGCCAGGAGGAGGAGGAGGATGGGGTTCCTTGGCTGCCCAGGGCAGGGCGTTAGGCTCAACAGGCCCTTTGGCATCAGCCCAGCTGCTCTCACACTTCTAAACAGCAAGAGAAAGACCGAGTGGGAGCCAAACGCCTGCAACTTATTCTCAAAGTTTTTCCCCTAAGCGTAAAAAAGACTTTCATCGATCTGCAGCTTTCTCACCAGACTCCATCCTAGCTAGAGCCATGGCACGCTCCAAAGGAGACGCGCTTTAATCGCTTTTGGGTGATCTTGGCAAGTGGCACAAGCCAAACAGACCTAAGGGCAGCTACCGCAGCCCGGGCTGAGCTGCTGAAGCACCAACGTAAGGCGGCATTACCGAGAAACTGCAGCACGCTGCTGAAGCCGTTGTAGAGCCATTCGAAAATGAAAGACATCGCTGAAGATTAAATCACCTGCCGGGACAAAACCAAAACCAGCGTCATAAGCGTCAGTGCCTGCCGGCAGCCGGGTGGCTGCCCCCCGCCCCCGCGGGCTGCCGGCATTCAGGTCCCGCTCCCCTCCCGGCCGGCACACCGGAGTGGTGACTAATCGCCCCCGGGCAAACTTCCCGGGCAGGCGGCAACGGAGGCGCCGGCC